ACAAGATGGCCTGGCTTTGTGGAGGAGAAGAGAGGAGAGTCCAGGCTATTTTGCATTTTCTTTATGGTTTTACAATCTCCTCTTCAGGGTCCTTTTTACTTCTGCAAACACAAAGCTCAAGGTGAGAAGTAATTGGACAAGCTAACAAATGAGTTAGGGCTTGCTTTATTTCCCACCGGCGAGTTCCTCTGTTTTGCTTGCCACCAAGATCAGCTTCTTTGACACGGCCTTTCATGTACCAGCTAACGACGAATGGAACTCTGCCACTGGTATGAGAAAAGAGAGGTTTTATACAGGACAGGCACTAAACCACCATGATTTATATGGGCTGAGGATAGTGCTTTACATTACATCAGTCTTCCAGGAGGGCCATGATCCCAGCAGCACCTTTAGGGGATATTTGGTGTGAACTGTTGCTCTCCAGACTGCAGAGTGTTACTGCAGGCAGAACCCCCTTTATAGGCACCTTGCTGTGCGAGGCTTGGGGTGTAAAACAAGGCATTTCTGAGCCGGCTTTCCTTGCTCTTACACGGGGGTGGTGGTAGCTGCACCGGAGAGCGTGTCCCCCGGCAATGCCCTGCGAGCCACCGGCACGGCTCCGAGCGCAGCCAGCAGCAGGATGGTGCTCAGCATCCCCCGTGCCCTCCGCCGTCTGTCTCATCCCCTCCTGACGGACGATACATGACCACTGCAGCTGGAAGTGCCTCGGGAGGGAGGAAGCCACTTTCTGGGTGGTGGAAGGGGCTGCCCTGTTTCCTAAGCCTGGGTGGGTGGAAATGCCGTCCCTTCCCGCAGCGAAGCACCCGCGCTCTTGTGTCGTCAGCCTCATCCTTGTCATGTATCGGGGTGCAAGGGGGGGATTAAGTTTTATTCCTGATTTCCTCGTTAGAAGTTGCGATGGTGCCGCGGTGGTGGGGTCGCGGGGACGGCGTGGCTGGGCGACGCGAGCCCTGGCTGCTCTGGTCCCTGAGGAGCCACGCATGGGGCACACGCTCGGCAGCTGAGACGGCCTGTGCTTCTCCCCGTGACTTTTCAGGGACTCTGACAGCATTTGGGGGGCTGCTTCTGCAAGGCCAAGCCAGGAAAACGGCGGCTTTCTTAGATCTTTGCCAGCTCTTTCTCTTGCCCTGTCCTCACCTGACTTGGTAAATTAAGAGGCAAAAATCACCCCGAATCCTGTTAGCTTCTCCCGCCGTCGGCTCGCGGGAAGGAAGGATGATTTAGTTCGGATGCCAGGACAGGGAGCCTGTGGTTCCTGCCCGTTTGACCAGGCAGGTATTAGCAAGTAAAGGTGCCTCAGCATCTAAGCCGCTCACGTTACCATAATTGGTTTAGGTGGGGTAATATGTGGTACCTTTATTCTTTTCATGCAGGCTGAATAACTGGTAAATGGCAGGTCCCGCTTTTCAATTCCACCACGTTTCCAGGGGCTGTCACACTTTTAATTTTTGCAATAGCTGCAAGCAAAGCAGTAATTGTCTTTCCTATTTCCCACAGCTGTGGCGCTGCCTTTGTTCTTCCCTCTTCTTAATTCCTCTGCCCTGACTTGAGCTATCGGATGTTTTCCAAAGCTCCCCGGAACACTGCTGTTAAAGTTATCTAAGGTTTGATGGCTCATCAGCCGCTTGCGAGAGACACACCGCGGGTGGCACGTGGCAGAGCAGGGCAGGAGAGGTGCGCTCGGGCCCGCTGGGCGTGATGCTGGTCGCGGAGGACGCCTGGGCAGGGTGAAGGCGTGCGTGTCTGTGCTCCGTGCGCCCGCCCAGGCTGGCAGGGTTTGCGTGCTGACGCGTGCACAGCTATGATGCGACGCGTTGCGCGCACCAGTTTCTGCCGAAGGGACGGGACAGCTTTTGAAAGGCTGCTCCATTAAAGCCTTTGGTCGTTTCTGTAGGTCCAAATGACTTAAGTGGAAGTAATTTTGGGGACGTGGTTTTGCATTTGCTTCAGTGCATTTGAAAGGTCTGCTCAGGACTATTACAAAACCTTCGACCGATGAGCAGCAGCTCAGGGAAGTTTGGTTTCCCAACTGTTTGAGGCCGGGGTGGGGGTGGCGGGGTGGATTCTCTGGTGTCTCGTAAAGTGTAGGTCTACCTGATGCTTTCCCTGCAGGTTGAGTGTTCATCATGGCCTTCGCTGTGGATTCTCCAGTGGCTGGAAAGGTTTAGTCTAGATGCTCTGATCCTGTTTTCTCCTCTAACTGGCTGCATTTAGTATCTTAGAGGTCTCTGACCATCAGTCCTACGTGTGTGAGGCTGGTCAGGGAGATCACATGCTGCCACTCACAGGTGTGGGCTGTGATCCTGTACACAGTGCTGCTTTAGCAAAGCAGACTTACAGGACCTGGACTTAACGTTTCAAGGTGTGAAGGAAAAAGGTTCATGTAGCTTCTGAAGTTCATCACAGTTCCCTGTGAGCTCAGCCCAGCCCAGGCAGATGATAACACCTTTGAGATCACAGTTTTCCCACCCGCACTGGCAAACAAGTGGGACTGGTTATCCCCCTGTAAAACTGGTAACACTGGCTACAGCAAATGAAGGCAGTTTGCTGAAGGTCGCACAGACCTGCTCTAAAGCGTTGCTGAAAGATCACACAAGACAAGAACAGGGAGCAGTTGCAGTCTCATGGCTTAATAAGTAATTGCTGAGGGGTTGGGCTGTGGTTAGGGACACTGCACGTTCATGGAGGGTGCCCCAGGGGCACAGGAAGGGTACTCGCATTCCTAAAGCCAGTGGTTGGGATACGAAATTTTGCTTTCACCTACTCCAGCCTCCACCCTGGGTTGTCCCCGTAGCCAGGAAGCAGAGCAGAATGTGTCCCACCCTCGGTCCCTTCCAGTTCCTCATCTGCTGTCATGGTCCAAACCCATCCTTACTGATGGGTGAAGCCAATACAACAGCTTATGAACTGGAGTGAGGGGGACATGGATCCATATTTCCCTTCTCCCAAGGTGGACGCTGTAAGAGTGGGAGAGATGTAAGCATTTTGGTTTACTTCTCATAGCAGGGGTTTGTCTCCCCAGGAGCTGCCCTGAGTCAGAGCAGGAGAGGGGCCTTATCAAGGATCTTGTGGACTTCAAATGCTCTGCTCCATGGTACGGCATCCTGTAGTTTTAGAGCTAATGTGAAAGCCCCCTTCCAGTGGGAAAAGGTAATTGAAACCACATTTTCTTAGCTGAGTAATTAGATTGATTCTGGAGAAACGCGGACATGTGGAAAATTGAAAAATGAGAGAGTTGTGTGCCCTTAGGCTGCAGATGAATGTCTTGGTGCCTTTCTGAGGAGCACTGGCTCGATCTATTGAATTATAGGACACACTGAGACCAGCTCAAGCATGATGCAAGTCCAAGCCCTGACCAGAGGAAACTCAGTAAGAAAGGGGTCCCTTTCCTGCTGTGCTGATCGGACATATGTATATCTTTCCCCAGAACTTCTCATTGAATTCTGTAGTGCTCTGTGCAGCCAAAGGATGCATGTGCATCCAGTTACAGGATTAAGAGAAAAAACTCTTCACAGAATTATACACTTACAGAAATTTTAATTGAATGGTGCATTCGATGGGACCAGCTCACAGATCACGCCGTTACAGGGATACTGCTAAGACTGCACTTGTGTGTATTTCATTTATGAGCATTTTGACCTTAGACATTTAGTGGAAAGTATTTTACATGTTACGGATGTAACAATGGGCTTCATTCCCTAGATTAAACCAGTCATTCCTACTGTTTTTTATTCTTGCACATTATAACAGCTGAGAACTTGTTCGGATGCTGTCAGCCACGCTGAGGGGATATTGGGGTTTTTGGGTCTCGCTCCTGTGCTCAAGTGTACTGTGGTTTGCAGAGTCTGGAATGAGCTCTGGCACTATTTTTGGCTGGGGTTATTTAAGCAAAGGTAAATATCCTACCAAATGGCTCTGCGGTGCGGTAGATCCCACAGTCAAATTCTCCAGAGATGCCTGTAAGCTTAAAATACCTGTTTCCAGTAATCCGTATGTGGATGGTGTGGGCTGTTCGCAATGGCAGGAATGAAGGCAAACAGGCACGCTGGGCTCCGAAGCACCGTTGCCGTGTGCTGAGCAACACCAGAAACAGTCAGGTAAGATAAGATACTAAACGCTGCCTGTATCGCCCTGCCTCATTTCCAGCATCATTTTTGCAGCATTTTAGTTCAGGTTTTTTGAATCGTTTTCTTACATTTCATAGCTTGACTTCTGGACCGCTCTTTCCTGCTCAGTTTGCTTTCTCTCATTCTGACTTCTCAGCTTGATCCAACTTCAGAGTTGGCTCTGCTTGGAGCAGGAGGTTGGTCCTGAGACCTTCAGAGTCCCTCTGACATAATACTCTGTGATTCTGATTTTTACTGGTCCTCCAGCTAGTTGAGACTACTATACACAAGACCTCCCTTCTTTCCTCCTCCGCCCAAAGCTGCTGGCATGTTCCGCTTCCTCAGATTTAAATCCTTCCTTTCGTCCCTCTTTCGTAATTTTACACTTCCCTGAACCACCTCCTTACGTAAATGCAAGACCAAACTGATTCTTTTGAGCTCTGGCTAATCCATCACCCTAAACTGTTTCTACCTACATAGACTGCTATTAAGTTTTAATTAACAACTGTTCTGCTGAAGCTTCAGTCTTGGTCAGCAGTATCGGAATTGCATTAAATAGAGGCATTAAAAATGCAACAGTATTCATGATATCAGCCTCGTAATATGAACCACTTCTTTGTGTGTGTGGTTTAGCCTCATAATAAATCAAGAAGCTCCTATGTTGGGATCATGCGTTCACCTGATTTGTTATTGCCGTTTGCCTTCTCTGATGACACTTTCAAGTCCTGGGGGCAGGAGCTGTCACCAGCTACACAGCCACTGTGTGGCATGGGACATGCTGCCATCTCCACACAGTGTGGATCATCTTTCTCTCTTTTTCCATTTTCTTCTGGAGTCACACTAGAAGCTGTCAGCAGCACCTCAGAGGCGCTGATATTGCAGAGTTTTATCATCTGCCTTGTGTCAAACATGCCCTTCTGTCAGAAGATGGTGTGTCTCAAACAATCCTCAAGAACCATTTTGCTCTCTTTCCCCAGGTCCTATTAGCAGTATTTTAGTAAACCGCTATGGCAGCCGACCCGTGGTTATATTTGGAGGCCTGCTGTGTGGCATTGGGATGGTCTCAGCTGCCTTCTGCACCAGCATCCTGCAGCTCTACATCTGTGTGGGCTTCATTACAGGTAAGAAGCAAGCATCTCCTTTCCACGCACACCTGAGCTTCACTTCTGATGGCCTGGGGCATCCACACCTGGGGACCTCGGCCAACCACAGTGGGAAGCTGGTGAGATAAAAAGTTGGTGGAACATGGGCTCTCGCTTATTAACTGCTCCTGATGACCTTTAGGAAAGAGCATATCCCCTGCTCAGTGCTGTGTTCCTGCCTGAAGGTTGCGTGCGGGACCTCGGCAGGGGAGGAGCAGTTCACAGATGGGCGCTCTCGGCCAGAGGCGATGGCGAGGGTGGCCATCAGCGCCCTTGGCTCCCGCTGAGGCGAGCGCAGGTTGGCTGCGCTCTGCCCCGGGCAAGGCAAGCCCTTCGAGACGCAGGTGCGACTATGAGGAAAGCTCCTGTGTTCCTGTGCGTTATCTTCCCTCTACGAGAGATATGAAGTAAGATTTCAGGAGGATAGTTTACTTGCCCTTTGCCCGCTTGTGAGGTTAGGAGGTCCTTTATCTGAAAATAATAACTACTGGAGTTGATTGAAAATATGCAATATTCTCCTTATCGAGAAAAAAGAACAACAACTATATTTCCATATTGAAGTTAGGGTTTGAATTGTCTGTATTGAAATATGAATTTCCATGTTGGAAACTCAAACAGGAGAAGGCACAGGCTCAGTCCAGTGTCTTTAAAGTCTGCAGGTGCTGGGTTATTGCTTTGAAAGGTAGATGGATTCGAGTTCTCCACCTGTGTGAGTACAGATGCTTAATTGTAAGCATTTTCATTTGATTATTTTGACTAAGGTACAGCCAGTGTTTCTTCCAGTGCAGCTAGGATATCTGCCTGAAAACATGACACCATCAGTTCAAAATTGGCTTTTGAGGTTGCAAGGTGTACGTTTTAATGACTGTTCCCTCTCTCTCTGCAGCCGCATTGTGTTGCTGCTTTCTGAACATGAAAAGTATGAGCTCAACATTTAAAATCAATAAAACCAGCCACTAGCAAAGTAAATTGGGACAGAAAGTTTGTCGCCTTGTTCTCCTACACCAATATTGCTTTATTAAATATGTACAGCAGCGCATAAATCCCCATGTAGGATTCCCTCTCCTAAACCTTACTCTTTCTAAGGAGAGTCACTGCAGTTAGAGGAAACTGTGTTGTTATTACTGAATGAATAAATTTTGCAGATTCCTTGAAAGAGATTCCAGAAACAAAGCGATGAGAAATAAAAATAACCAATGCCTCCCATAGATAGATTCAATATTTATTGATGCGTGAGCTTGCAGCATTCCCTGCTAAATAAATGTCCTCTAGCAAGTTGACTAGCACTGGGTTCGCACATAGAAACCATAAACCCTTTGCTAAAAATAGATGCGTTTTGGTGAGCAGAAGGGCTCAGGCAAGGAACAGTGCTGTAGGAAGGCACCAACTCCTATTTTTTCAAAGGTACTTATCTAAAGACATGCCAGGAGGGAATTTTGTGGCTAACCCCAATGGGCCTAGGGTCTGTGAAGACTCTGCTCTTTTTTGGTCCCTGGATGTCTTTGCAAATTTGGTTCGTTGCCCACCCCAGAGAGCTGATAGCACGAGCTGTGCACATGGAACCCTCATGCCAGCAGCAGGGTACCGGGGCAAGCTGCCCCCGTACCTCCTCCTCTGTAACGCTGTGACGTTTCCTCACACCTTCGGTGCTGCGTGCGTCTTTTCCTCTTGCTGTCTGAATGAGGGCAGCTGCATGGATGAGGTTTTAGCTAACAACCCATCATTTCCAGGCGTGGTGTGTGTGCTGGGGAAGGAATATTAATTTGACAGAGAGGGGAAGGAATATTAATTTGACAGAGAGGGGAAGGAATATTAATTTGACAGAGAGGGGAAGATGCTTGTAATCCTGCTAACATGCTTGATGCCTCTAATTACGCTTGAAGTGCTTTTGCTGGTCGGGCCTAACATGGAAGCATTCAAGGGCAATTATGAAGCTGCCTGCTCATCACGCAGCCGAGGCAGCGTTACTGTACGAGGAGAGAGACTTCTGTAAAGGCGATTTGCAAGGACTGTAAAGCAACCTGTAAACATCACGGTCTTTCTAGCCTCCTTCCCGCCAGCCTGAAGAGGAAACGGACTGACGTAAAAATCCATGTTCGTGTAGTTCACAGGGATGGAGATAAGAACAAGACAGTTGGTACTAGAAGGTCTCTGCTGCAGTCCTGTGCCTTTGGCATATTAATAGGAATATCTTCAGAAGGAAGTATCTGTTTACGGTGGAGGGATTAGACACGGCAATCTCAGCTGCTTTCTTGATTATGTCTTTTTCCATTTGCATGCAGAGCAGGGACCGCGCTCCACTGTCAGCGGAGGCTCCGAAGCAGCTCTGTCCTTGATGGCACCGAGCTGTGGGCTGCACGAGGCACTTTGTGTGCACTGTAAAACCCCTGTTCTCTTCCTCACTGGTTTCCCTATAGTGCTTAGAAAAAGAAATGGGGTTTGCAAGCTGTCAACCTGGGTAGATGCCAGCCTGGATGCATTAAATAGGTGTTTAGGCATGACACCTCTTCTTCAGGTTCTTCAAGTCTGAGGTAGAAACAGCAAATGTCAAAGCTAAACACAAGGCAATAATGACTGGTCAGAGTTTAGTTCAATCTGTAGCAATTAGACTGCCACAAAATAAAATGGGTTCTAGGGTGAATCATGTTTGCTAATGAGACTAAAGTCGTTGCCTCGGCTGTTAATGTTGAGCATTGAAATACCTGGTAGGCTCTTCCTTTGCTGATAAACTAAGAACAAGATCAATAGCTACACAGCTCACTGCTGTAGCACGACTTACTTCCTTCTGCTATGAGGGAGATGTATTTATTCTAGGGAAGGATGCTCCTTCTGGCACGGGCTTGCTTCTCTTCGTGCAACACCACTGGTAGGCCTCTCTGTCATATCCCTGGGGAGAAAATGTGGTTATTTGAGGAACAATTTCAGCCATGGAAAAGCTCCTGTAGTTTCTGAAAAATGGAATAAAATGGATTTAAATATTTCCAACTAAAGTCAGCCAAAAGCTTAAAGTAAATTGAAATTCCAGTCAGTCAATTTGAAAGTCTCCAAAATTAATTAATGGGAAGAGCATGAGGTAATATTAAATTAGATTTGTCTGACTGGCAAATTAATGTTCACATAATAAAAAAATTGAGTTGATTATTATTTAAGTGGGTAGCTGGCATCCAGTCTGACTTTCCTTATCCGCACGACATGTGGTAGGTCCCTACCAAAAATGATTCTGTGGAAATGATGGTTCAGTTTCTGCCCTTACCTACCAGCCAGGGAATTACAGAGTTAAAGCAAACTCTAACCCACTGTGTTGCATCTTCTTAGGTGAAAGAAGATGCAGTCCTATAGCTGAGCACCGTCAAGGGTGTCCTCTAACCAAGGCTGTGTTTTGCCTCCATAGTTCTCAGGTCAGCCCTCTCACGGGCATGAATTTGGCCCCATATGCATTATGAGCAGGCTGTACTTCCCAAAGACATGCCCTACAAAATATATGGACTATCAAGAAAAGTTCATGCTGAGAATGTGTTTCATATCAAGACCAATTTTAATATGTTGACATTTCAATTTGTTTTTCATGTTGTAAACTTTCAAGTAACTTAAAAAATAATTAATCTTATACTTGGCAAAAATCATAATTTTGTAAACCCCTTCAAACTGAAGCTATCCAACATCAGTTGAATTCTGCTGCATCAGTTGGATTCTACTCTATCAGCGACTAATGATAGTATTCCTTAATTAATTTTGAGGACCTTGACCTTTCTAAATTCTCTTCTGTAAAGCAATATGCCTAAGTATGTACTGCACAGTTAAAGAAACTAATTATATAGACTAATGAACAAGGAAAAAATCTGCATGACCCTATTTTCAGGATTCATGTTCTCTGGTATAATCACTTCAAGGATTACATTTCTGCTTTGTTCTAATGTGGCTTTTTCTTTCCAAGATGATAGGATGGAAAATATGTGGCATGATATTTAAATGTCATTGTGATGGAGGTCTGAAAATTTAACTTGTTAAGGAAATACTGCTCATGATAGAAATATTTGAAGAGATTATTCTATGCTAGTGCTGTCAAACAGAACTGCAGAAAGTTGAGACCATCACAGCATTAGGTATCTCTGCCTTCAGATTTCACTTGTGCAAGAGTAGCTTGCTAACTGAATTAGCAATGCAGCTTTATAACACCATTTATATATCTAAATGCAATAAAAATAAATTTTAATTAAAAGAAGCACTCTAGGGTCTTGTTTAATTAGCATCTTCCATAGCTGTTTTGCTACGTACTTGCAGACCTCTCAATCTTTTGCATCAGACCTGAATTGCTCACACCACCACATGAGTAGCGGCTGAGTCTGCCAGCCCGACAACAGTGTTGGGTGCCGACTGCCCATGGAAGCGGGTGCCAGCCACATGTGAGAAGGGTGCACTTTGGTGGTTAGCACTGTCCCAGCCAGAACAACCTTCCTCAAACTGGGAGTTGTCTT